AGTGGTAGGAAGGCAGAGATGTCAATTCAGAGCCAGATTTATTAGTAAGGGTGACAGATAAAGGGGTATGAAGCAGAGCACTTGTGGCAAAGAGGGACAGAACTCTGAGTGTCCACCATTCCCTCCTCTTGACCTGCAGCAATGGTCAAAGGTCCCTAAAATGTTCTACTGATACTTCTCCAAGAGATGATGCTCTGGCATCCTTCATTTCCTCCTAATATTCCTCATCACACTATTTCTTGTCCATCCCTCTTCTTATTCAAACTCTAAATGCCTGAATTTAAGCACCTCTGATCTGCAAAATCTCCTAAGAGGCCATCAAATCTTTTGATCTGTTGTCTCCAATGTAGCCACTACTTGCAGCTGAGGAGAGCATTCTGCCCAACTTCAAACCTTTCCATGAGTCCCCGAGACCTTCACATTAGAAGAAAAGCTCCTTAGACTGGCTCGAACAACTCTCGAAGACGTAGCCCTACGTATCTCCCCAGCCTCAATGGACGCCACCTCACCCTTGCCCTCTGTCTCAGCCTGCCTGTGCATCTCACTCCTTGCCACTTTTGGCCTCCAGGTTGTCACACCTATCTCCCTCCTCTGTTTGTCCCTCCCTCAGGTCTCCATTTGTAAATCCCTTCAGACTTCAGCTTAGACTCCCTCTCTTCATCCTTGACAGCCCCTCCCAGGAAATGTCACAGGCTCCTTCTCTTTGCTGCCACAGACCCCTGCATTGCCTAGTTTGTTCTTGTCGATATCCATGCCTGATCCCCCAATCACATATTAAGCTCTTCAAAAGCAAGGACCTTGTGTTGTTTGAGGCTGAATCTCAGGGTCTAGCATGATGAGTGACAAATGGCAGCTTACTTATGCATACTTATTCCTTACTTATATGGGAATAAGCTACACTTATTCCTGTACCAGGCACATCACACTGCCACTCCCTCCACACCAGAGGTGGAAAGCCACAGAGCCCAGGCTCCTAGTACTAGTTTACTTTGTGATGCTAAGATCTCCCTCAGTAATCACTCCTGAGATTGCATGCAGCCACCTAGAAATGATTCATGTCGGAGCAGAAACATTTGACATTGCTGAGCCGCCCAGTGTTTGGGCAGCTCAGCAGATATTAGCCATGTCCACAAATCCCTGCCAGCTTTCTCAGGGAAGAGCTGACTTCATACATTCAGTGTCTTGTATTTTGAATGAAGGAGATCTGCCAGACTGGACAGAGCTGCAGAACATCTTGCCTGGTATCAGAAAATAATTAGGCTGGGACAAGAAGAAAGGGAAATGGGTATTCCGCAACTCCCTAAGCTCCAGGATCACCTTGGGCACTCTAGTTTTCTAGACTGAGGAAAATGCAAATAGGAGAGAAATTAGGTGGTGGGGCAATAGGTATATAATGCATTGAAATGTAGGGTTTGGGACAAGCTGTGAGTCTTGACAAGATGGATGGCCTGAAGGCCACGGTTGTGATCTTGGTAAGGAGAAACACAGATTAGCGTATCAGAGCCTTGAAACAGAGCTAGGCAGGGCCACGGAAATCATCCAGGCTATTTATTGATAAAGAAACTAAAGTGCAGAAAGGTGAGGCAGCCAGGTCAACAGTCCTCCCAAGCAATTCGTGTCAGATCTGCAGTGATGACACAGACCCTGAACCCAAATCTTTCCATTGTTCTGCTCCCTTGAGGTGTCTCACATGCCTAACAAAGAGAGGCCACTAATGGTAGGGGCTTTTACTGTCTTCTTAGTATTTTCTTTCTCTCTCTCTGCAAAGTAGGTGAATTAGAGCAAAGAAATGAATTTTAGGCATTTCAGAAAATTTTGGACCCTTCTATAATATTATTGGCAATTATATCTATCATTTGGAAATTATAGATATAATGTATTGAGTGCCAGATACAACATGTTTCTTACTGTACAGCTTCCCAATCTATTTTGAAAGGTAGTTATCACTATGATACTACGCAGATAAGGCGAATGGCTTGGGGAGCAAAAGGATTTACCAAAGGTCACACAGACCTAACAAGTGAAGGAGCCAGGATTTGAAGCCCATTTGATGCTGTGTAATTAGAAATAGGGATTTTGCTCATTTTATAGGGGAAAAAAATTAGGAAAAGAAAGAATTTACTTAGGTAGACTGTCTCACAGCTTATTAACTGCTTTTACTGCACAGCTATAAATTCAGTCGATGCACTTGACATCCCTGTGAAATGGATATTAACATCCACATTTTATGAATGAGGAAACTGAGGCACAAGACCCTTTAGAAATGGGATTCAAACCCAGGCTCTCTTAATCCAATTTATGTGCTTTTCCACTACTATAGCTGAAATCAAGGAAATAAATTGAAGGGAAAGAAAGCCATTTTAAGTTTAAAATATTCCATCAGATGTTTCCAACAAATGTTATATGACGACCATTCAATGTCAGATTTCAATTATTCTAAAGTGCCCACTTGAAAAAAAGGGAACATGTTAAGGGCAAAATATGTATTTCTATTCTCCATCACTCTGCTTCAGTAGGTTGACCCTAACAACACCACCACGAGCATCCTTCAGCCTTGCTGCACATACTGAGATAGGGAAGGCAGTCAGGGACAACTCAGTGCATGCCTCTTCTTGTACAAGTGGTCACATTCCAGGTGAGGCCCATTTACTCATTCAGTAACCATTCACCAGGGAAGTCACCACACCAGGTGCTGGGGCCACAACCAAATTAGGATAGGGAGAGGCACCTGTCATCAGGAAGCATAAGATGTAGAGAGAGGACAGGTATGTGCGCAAGCGATAACACATTACAGCCTGTCACAAAGCAGGCCAGAAGTATCATAGGAGCACATGGGAGAATTTGGGAAGGCTTCCTGTAGGAAGGAGCACTGAGACTGGGTCATTAAAGAAAGAGGGAAGTGAGAAATGGTCATTCTTGGCAAAGAGGCCAGCACGAGCAAAAGCAGAGGTTTAAAAGAGCAGGGAATAGTATAATATGGTCCTGGTTCCTTCCAGAAATTACAGTTCCCTCAGCAATAAAATCAAGTTGTAAGCATTCAGTCAATTTCAGTCAAATTGAACAAACATTTGGTAAACATCTGGCATTACAAAGTTGGATGAAAATAATCCTGTCTACAAGGAGCCCACGATGTGTCAATGTATTCATCTAACCAACATATAAATGAATCCCCACTATGTGCAAATCTCTGCTTACCCTATAAAATGCTTGGTCCACCCCTGTGGTGAGCAGCCCTCACTTTTTTCAAATTAGACGAGTACTGCATTTAATGGCAAAGCACTTGACCTTCAGCACTTGAAAGCAAGGAGGATGGCATGCAGCATTTCCCCCATAAAGTCCTCCTTATAGTGCCCTGAGTGCATTTTGGATCAAACTACAGTGTTTCAACTGTGAGTCATTGACTAATATTTATACTCCCTTTTCATAACTGATGGCTGTTTAATGATTGCCAATCTGAGGATGGGATTTTTTTTTTTTAGAAAATGATGATAATTCCTTTTACTTGCAGAAGACACAGGATTTTGAAAAGCCCTTTCCATACATCCTCTCCACATTCCATTTGATTGTTGCCATCCCCATTCTACAGATGAGAGAAAGAAGCCTCAGCAAAGTGGTACAACTCAAGGTCACGCAGCAAGTGTGTGAAGTCAGAGTTCAAATCCATGTTTTCTGACCCTCAGATCTTGTCCTCTTTCCTCTACACCTCAGCATCTGCCTAAAATATGATAATGCCATCCTCATTAAGACATAAATCCCCAGACAAAATGTTGGCCAAATCACATCCCCTCAGGTAACATAAATACATCATAAATTAAAAGCCCAGTTAAATAACATTGCCTCTTAACTGGGACTTACACGGTCCCCTGAGGCTAGAATACAAAGGGGCAGCCCTTTCAAAGTCAATGGCTGCCCATCGTGGAAATTACCCAGAGACCTACTTACCCATATGCAAGAGCTTTCAGACCCCAGTTATTCACTGAACTTTGTCTTCCTTCTTTTATGGTCTTCCAGACCAATGGTCCCAGCTGAGCTGGGTTTGGATTCATGCCCCACACTCTGGCAAGGGCCTGCAGGTGTGGTTAGCAATCCCTCACAGTGTGTGGACAGCCTAGGTGCCTCTCAGATTTGATACATCATTTGACATCAACAGCATCATAACCTGATGGAAAACAATGCCCCCAGTTCAAATGAAGAACTGAAGTGGACTTCTCTAGCTGTCTGAAAGCGGGATAGTTTGCCAATCAATGGCTAAGGAGCAAGGGGGTTACTGTGTCCGACATAGCTATTTTTCTGGCAATGTGGGGCAGGGAGCAAGAAATGAGGTGGGGAAGAGGAGAGGCGCAGTCTTGACTGCTAGCTTCAGTTTTTACTTCTACTCCCATTGCACCCCGAACAATCAATGGCAATAAGACAACAAACTCCAGGGATACCTCTGGGTCCCAAAATGATAATAGTTACACTTCCCTTGTCTAAATATCCCCTCCAGTGGCTGGGTTTGAAGCTAGTTTTACAGACCAAGAGCTGATGTGTGCTCTGGTCCCTTTACATGTCATAGCTGAGCTGCAGTGCTCCCCCACCCCCGTCCCCAGCCAAGCCACAGGAAGAACCGGTCTCTGGGTTAGCCTGGATCACTGAGAATCGCCACCGGGGCTCTCTCCACCCCAATACGGGAGCACTGGCTCCGAGGACCTGAATGGACATGAGTCTGAAGTGCCCCTTCAACCTCCACCTGGGACTTCTGTGAGGACCACCTCATTAACCCGGTGTCTCCCCATCTAGCACATCTATGGTCCCTCTAGTCCTCCACAAACCTATCCAGATGTGTGGCAAAACTGGAGGGCAACGAGATTGGGGAAAATAGAGGAAGATAAACCACATTTTGAGGCGGAATCCCTATTCAGTAACAGAAAGCCATCCAACTTGCAGCCACGCTTCCAGAAACGTCACTGCCACAGAGAAGAGAGTTTTGCAGCTGCAGACCCCGGAGCGCTCGCACCTACCTGTCTCCCGCTGCAGGGCTCCCCTCTCTCACCTCCTGGGGCCAGGCTCCCGGGTCCCTCGCCTCCCCGTTTCTCCTTGTCCAGCAGCCAACACTTGCTGCGGCGGTGGGCGGACTGAGGAGCCCGCGGTACCTGCGAGCTGGGTCTCAGGTCCCCTCGGCGAGGCTGCCTGGAGGAGGAGCGAGAGGCTGCTGCCCTCGCCGCGCCGCCGCCGCGGCGGTGCTGATGCGGTTGCTATGGTTATGGAACTCCGCAGCTGCCCCCTCTCGGCGCAACAGCTGCCCGGCCGCGGCCTCCGGGCAGCCCCGAGACCGGCGCGCGCAGGCAAGCTGGCGACCACGGTGGCGGTCCGGGGACTCCGCCGGCGGCGCGGCTGGGGAGGACGGAGCGGGTGCCCGCGCTCGCGCTCGTCCTGGCGCCCTTGCTCCGCGCCTTCCTTGCGGGACGCGGCCAGACCCCAGCGCCGCGCAGCGCGCCCTCGCGCCCGAAGAGCCCGCCCCGCCGCCGGCAGCCGCGGCCGTGCGCACCGCCCTGAGCTGCGCGCCTCACGCGCCTCCGCCGTGCCCCTCCGCCGCCAGCCCGCGATGGGGGCCGGTCCGCTGCCCGCGGCCAAACCCCGCCCGCGCGGCCGCCGGCCTGCGGAGGGCGCCACCCGCCCGGCCGCGCCGCCCCCTGCCCTGGCCGCGAGCATGCTCAGTCCCTGCGCGGCGCCCTCCGCGCTGCGGGACCCGGGCGCGCGAAAGGAAAGGTCCCTTCCCGACCCCCGGGCACAGGGCTAAGCCCTGGGGAGGGGAGTGTTAAACTTGGAAGAGGACCCCAGGGGCAACAAGTAGACACCGAAGACAGAATGAAAGCGCTAAACAGCCCATACCTCCAGGACAGGAGTCAGCAGGACAGAGTCAGCAGTGGCCTTCAGCCACTTGACTAACCCACCATGCGCTGTTCCCCTTACTTCTTTCTTAACGACTGGGTTTCGCAGAGGTGTGAGATTCTGTCCACGGAGAAGGAATAAGATTGAGGAGAGCTATGGCAATCCCATCTACTGAGCATTCTTCATGGGACCTCTGTAATTCTAACGATCTCTGTGTTAGGAAGTTTTCATGGCATGCCTGTTACAGATGACAGCCCGAGACAGAGCCAAGACTGGGACTTGGAGGCCCAGGGCTCTGTGCATTAGACTAGGTGTACTGACGCCCACCCTGTAAAAGGCAGAGGTGGTGACAGCGTTAGCAGCCTCTAAGCCAGGTGGGGTGGGAGTGGGAGAGGCAATCAGGGAAAGACACCTGAAAAAAGGTTCGGGAACACGTAAGGGGGGAGGTGAAGGTTGGAGGAGAATGCTCCTTCCAGGACAAGAGGACCAGGAGTGCAAAGGCCTGGCAGTGAGAAAGGCAGGGCTGGTTTATGTGTTGCACTGCGCATCCGGTACCGCTGGAGCAGAGCAGGCCTGAAGAGGTGGGCAGTGTTGAGGGTTGCAGGGGGGATATGCACATCAAGGGTTCTGGGATCCCAGTGAGGGGGTGGGAACTTGACTGTGAGGACGGTGGGGGAGGGTGCAGGGGAAAGGCTGAGTTGGCAGGTTGGAAAGGTCACTCTAGTGGAAGCTCTTGTGACAGGGGTTAGGTTGGGTGTTAAAGCTGCAGAAAGGGGTGCCATGAGGAGGCAGTTGCCACAGCAGGCCCGGACAGATGAAGACCCTGAGCTACCTGCCCTGTTTGTCCTCCCCACAGCACACAGGGAGCCTTGGATGAGGCATACCCTTGGTCAATGTTTGGTGAATGGCAAAGAAACAAATATTTATTTATCTTCTTGAGAAAATGGATGCCTTTCTTTTATGTCTGTCCTTAAAATGTGAACAAAATCATATAACATTTATGTTGCTATTGATACTGCATTTTTATGACAGCTTAATTTTGAAAGTCAATGCAAGTCCCCAACATTTTCTTCTGCGTTAGCTAGTCCCTAGCAGTGGAGATATGTCAGGAGCATAGAATTTGCTTGTATTAGTAGGATCTGGATTCAAGAGCTCCATGATATGTTCAATGAAAAAGCAAAGTGCTGAATAGTTTTTAAAACAAGATAACTCTTGTGAAACAAGGAGAGAGACACCTGTGTGTGTTTGCTTTTGCTTGCACTGCCATAAAAATATATTGAAAGGTTATGTAAGAAACTTGGAGAAATGGCTATTAGCTGTGGAGGTAAGGATGGTGAGAGAATTTTGTAGACAAAGGTAAGATGAGAATGAGACTTTCAGCACACACTTTTATAAAGCATTTAAATTTTTAAACCAAAAATAAAGTGTGTGTGTGTGTGTGTGTGTGTGTGTGTGTGTGTGTGTGTGTGTGTAGTCTATGCAGTGAACCTTGAGATAACATCAAATGCAATATGCAATATGTCTCAATGGGATATGTCCCAAGAGCTGATCCCACTCCTGTTCTCTACATGGTAATAGTATTATGAAGGAAATTATTACAGTGAAGCCTTCCTCTTCAAACCCTGCCCTTGGACTGACTAACATCCTGCCCATCTATCACCCAGCTGGAGGGATGCCTTCTGGATCCAAATATCTCCTCATCAGTGCTCTCCTCATGCAGGAAACCATGCATTGTCCACTCCAAACTGGTGCATTCTCAGACCTAGAGAAGGTCTGTGTAAGGCCCTAAACAGCTGGGGGCTGAGGTCTGGAAGGGAAAGTCTGTGCCAAGGGCCTGAATGGAACCAACTCAAAGGCAGAAATAACCCTCCACTGTCTACCCCTCCCAGGGAATGCCTCACTGCCCATCAAAGCAGAGAAGCCAGAGAAACCTGACAATAGCCTAGTCTTCATAGTCTCTCTCTCTCTCTCTCTCTCCCTTCCTCCCCCCCCCCCCCTCCCTCCCTCCTTCCCCTCATATCCCATACATCTAATTAAATGTAACAACTTCTGCCAATTCTGCCATGTAAATAGCTCTCCGAGTCATCTATGACAGGGCTCCATGGTAGATTTTCAAAAAAATCTTTTTCAATAAGAGGTTGTAAGTAATGATGTATCCAGAGAAATGGGTGCAACGTTGCTTTATGTTTTGCGTTAACCAGTTATGATAGGACAGGACCATGATTCTGGTGCCGCCGGAAGGTGAAGGCCCATGGAAGAGCACTGAGTGCTGAGAGATGCAGTCTGGGGAGCTGGCACTGGATGTCTGGCTGAGTTTGGGTGGGGCTGGAGTAAGGTTGTCATCCCTCATAGGACCACGGAGGCTTGAGCCCTTCCAGGTGAACAAAGAATCACAGCCAAGTAGGCTGGCATTTCTTCTTGTAGGAGGCAGGTTTTCAATGGTGACATCCTGTGGCAGCAAGAAGCAACTGTCATAAATGCTTAGACTCAGCATACTCTGCACATTGGGAGAAAGTCAGAACAGCCTCCCTTTGGGACAGGACTGGCCAAGCCCCCATGGATTTAGAGCAATTTGGGAAGAGCAAGATCCCCAAGAGGGAGAAACGTCACTTCCTGCTTACAGAAGATCAAAGCCTGAGGCAACTTGCCAGGCCTTGAAATCTGCCTTTGCCACTTTCCTGTTGTCTGTCCTTAAAGATACAGCTTGACCTAATTATATTTCAATGGCCCTTTCTGTAAAGCAAGAATGATAATAAAATGCACTTCATAGGTTTGCTGTGAAGATCAAGTGGATTAACACTTATATGGATATAATGGATTAAAATGTAGAACAGTCCCTTGCGCCCAGGAAGGGCTGTGTATGTGTGGGCTATTACTATTTTTTAAATGTTGAGATGAGTTGGAGAAATAGAAGTGTTTGGGGTGCTGTGTTTATCAGTTATACTTTCTTATCTATCCATTTCCTGTGCCACCACCTTGGCCCAGGGCCATCCTGTTTCTTATCTGAATCAAACGATTTCTTAACACATCTCCTTAATTCCAGTTCTGCCCCCTTTAACCTACCTGCTGTACACACCATATTGATCTTTTAAAAATGCAGCTTTGATTTTATCCTCTTAAGACCTTTCAGGAGTGATTCTGGACTTTCATAAAAAGCTCTAAGCTCCAGGGTCTGGCCTTCAGAGGCATCAAAGGTTTGATTCCTGTTCTTTTTGGTCCAGCAATACCAACCTGCTTGTACTTCCCAGAAAGCACCAAGATGTCCAGCACATCTGTGCATTCTTACTCATCTTGCAAACCTTTATCTCCACACTGCATCCTTCAGGAAGCCTCTTCAGACCTACCTTAGAGGTAATCCCTTTTTCCATTGAGCTGCCTCGGAGCTCCATAATACAGTTATTTCTATAAAAATGTATTTCTCCCACTAGACTGAGAAGTTTTTGAATGAAGTTCTTACAAAAAGAGAACCTATGACTTCTTATTTTTCTTAATCAATTGATAGCAGTATTTGGAACATATAGAAGATGCTCAATACATTTCAAAATTTTACTTGAATAGATTTGGGGTTGATTTTCTTCTCAAGTATTTGTCTTATCTTGCCTGCCAACCGAAAGTCACAAGTTTGTTTTAAACATCTTTGTATTTATGATAGGTACTCAATTCCTGTGGTTGATTTAATTAACTGATGAACTGATGGGTTGGTTCGCCTAAGAACCAGCTTGATTAGCACAGGGGCTGGGGAGTGGCGTTAGGAGAAAAGTGACTATGTTATGCTTTGAGGCAGGTCTTCAATGGAAATATTTTTTTCAGCAGCACAGCAGTTCAGTCCAGAGGTGTCCCTATATTTATTTTATCACATACTCCTATCAGTGCTTTATTTCAGGTACATGTAACAGTGATCACAGAAAACACCTGTGCAGTAGAGTTCTTCCTGGGCACCAGGCACTATGTTAAACACTTTGTATAGGAACTGGTCTCACCTTCACAACAAGCCTGTGATGATCCTGCCAGGAGAAAACTGAGGCAAAGTTGTGAAACTTGACTAAATTCACTCTGCTAGAGGGAGCTAAGCCAGGATGTGAATAGTCAGTCCCTGTTCATTACCACCTATATACTCTGCTGTGAGCTTTGCTTCTGTTTTCTCTAGGTTTATATTTATAAATTACATATCTGTCCTACTGTCATTATCTAATACAGTGTTGCTCAACCTCAGCATCATTGATGGCTGGGGCCAGGAGATTCTTCATCCTGGGGGCTTCCCTGGGTATTGTGGGATGTTCAACATCTCCCTGACCTCTCCCTGACTAGGTTCCAGGAGCACCTCTCCTCACTTCAGTTGTGATGAGCAAAATGGCCTCTAGACATTGACAAAGCTCCCTGGGGAGCAAAACTTCCCCTAGTTGAGAATCACTAGTCTGAAAAATAGATTTAGGGCAAGTTTAGTAGTAAATGATAACAGATGTAAATCCAACTTCAAATAAAATTATT